TGTACTAATTTGACTCAGCACATTTCTGTGGCCAGTGCTCATTTACTGTATTAATTCTGGGAACCCTCCTTGTGGCTGGACCATTTCTTGCTTAAACCGGACTCAGAAAGCCAACATTCACGCTTGGTGCCTTTGCAGACTCATCTGGGATTTAAGTCAACAAACAAACACTTTCATGCAAAAGAAGAATGGAACCCCTAAAGATGTAAAGTGAGCTAGCCTGAATCTCTGATCAGAGCAATTGCCAAGAATTCTTGATTGCCTCAGAGGCCTTTACTTGCTGCCTGGGAAAGGAATAAAAACACAAGAACTGCACTCTGAGTGAAATGAATGATCCATCTGGTCCAACATTTTGGCACTGCATGGCAAGTTGCTGCAAGAGAAAGCCACATAGGCATAGGAAGGGGGCAATATCCCAGTCTGTTTTGCTAGCTCCCAACATCAATCTTCTGGCCATAATGAACTAGGGACTGCTGCTGGAAGCCCCAATTCTACTGGTGGCAATTCAGTGGTGATTTTACACTATTAAAGCCTCCCCTCTCATCCGAAGGTATCAAAAGTCTTCCCCAGGCCAAAAGTAGCTCAAAGGAGATTTGGTATGAAACTTCCAGTTAGTTTAAATTAAATGTTTCTGGCATCTGTCAAGGATTCCAGGTGGGGACAGAGAGGCTGACATAACCACTCCACCACCCTGCCATCAAATTCTCTAGTGCAGACACAGTCCAGGAAGATCAGGTGCTACAGGCCAGGGTGATCTTCTTATTAAACCCCCACCCCCTTTTGAACACTCTGGTCTACAAACGTTTCAGTGTTACAAGGAGAATTTTTAAAATGCACAAAATTGTCCACTTTGACTTTCACACCAAACTGGTGAAGTAGAAATACTTAAAACACACTCACAAATACTTAAAAAAAAAAAACATGAGGTAAGACCCTTTCTTCAATACCACCAACCCCCATTATTCCAAGTGACCAAACAATGGAAATATATTTTTTTCAGAAAAAAAATGGTTATAAAAGAACAAAAGGAGATATAAAACTTCAAATAGGTTTCAAAACAACTCAGAAATTTAAAATAGGAGGAACTGGAGGCTAGGCAATTTGAGAAGCGTTCCCAGAGAAAATAACAAAAAACTGGCTTCTCTATGCTCCATGCTTACAATTCAGCATAGATCCAGAACATGCACAGACGACATAGCAAATCCCACGGGAGCTCAGTGATTTCTTAGAGAAACCTGACTAATCACACCTTGTTCTTTCCTGTTTTATACCCATCATCCACATTCCAGATCCTTCCCCACATTTCTACAATCACATTCCAAGTTCTTGTGAACCTTCTGGAAGGAGGTAATTTGTGTTAAATTAACTTTGCTTATTCCTTCTCCTCCCTCGTCAGCTGCAATCAGATATTTTCAACTGATGTCAGTGCTCACTGTGCCTCCTACAAGAAGAGCCGGCCTGTGTAGCCTTCGGGAAGCTGCAAAGTCCCTGGGTGGCCTCAGAGGAAGGGAAGAGAGGGAAGTACTTCTGAGTACCCTCTACCTAGGAAACCCTGGAAAGAGTCAATATACATTGGAATCAACTTGATGGCACACTATTATTATTATTTTTAAAAACCAGGAACAGTCAATCAAAATTATAAAAACATTGACTGGTATTATATAACAGACACAAGTTTTAACAAAAAACCTAAGTATCTGTTAAATACCGGTGCAATATGTATGCTGTTCCTAATATTGGCATTTTTGTAGCTCTGATGGTATTATTTCTGAGATCTGCAACAGCTTATAATACTGTGTTAAAAAATTTTATATTGTTCTTAAAGCCCCAATTACTATGGGGAACACTGAAGTGTGTTTCGTCTCCAAACGAGATGTTTCAATTGGTAGGTCTCTGTACTTCATTCATTTTTCCAATTCTTTATTTTCAACTCTGGTCTCCTGTGGAATTGCACTGTCAATGATCCGGACATTTCTTCATTCTATTACTACTAAATCTGGTATGTTATGTTCAAGGTGTCTGTCC